TACACACACACACACACACACACACACACACACACACACATACACACACACACATACAGCACTTCACGAACCTGTGAACACCACAGCCCAACTTTCCCTTTTTGGACGGGTACACCGTGAGTTTGATCTCTTCTCCTGCAGATGTCAGCTGGCCTGAAATAGACAGATACGATAAGATACGATAAGTCTCTATTGTGCAGATCCTGGTGTTGAAGAGAGTCAATAACGGGATGCTGAGAAAAGAGAGGCTGCAAAGCATAGAAGAAAGCAGATTGAGAAAAATAACATGGATCTATGCTCCAAGCCATACAGGCGTGGTGGGACATGAACAAGCAAAGCAAACAAACTCGTGTGCAATGCACCGGTCAATACTGGCATTAAAATAGACAAAAATGATGCTTTGACGGCCCTTGCCACCACCCTTGAAGATGAAGAGATTGAGCATGACTATGCGCCAATCTTACGACTTGCAGAACTGGGTGTCTTCAGAGGAAGTGGCAGAGCCAACAGGGTGAAAGGGGATGTAAAGACGGACTGTTAAACTGTTAACCAAATTAAGTTGCTGTGCTAAACAAAAAGGATCTCAAAGGGCCAGTAAAGATGACAGAATAATATGCTGTCAGAACACTTCTACGATTCACAAGATATATGATGCTTTCATAAACGCAACATTGCTGTTCCATAATCTCCACGCCCCCCCCCCCCAAAGCCCATGTGAAGAATGTTACATGTTTATTGTGTCTGTTAACACAGAAGGAGCAGTAACGCGTTAGAACTGCTCTTTTTAAACGTCCACCAACGATAGGACAGAGCAAAATGGATGGACAGCTCATATAAAAAAGTTCAAAATTTCTCAGTGAAACAGGGTGCCCATTGGCACGATAAGGCATGGTCGGAGCGGTTTTGCTAGCCAGATTGAGGATGCAAAGCGGTTGTCGTGGCAGAAACCGATGCGTTTTTTTTTTAGGCGACCAGTTGTGCCATCAACCCGACCCGACCCGACCCGATCCCATCCGCGATGGGCATTAGGGATTCGATTCGTAGCCACTCTAACAGCGGTACAGCATACTCCTGACTGAGCCAGTGGTAATCCCAATACAGCTGTTAATCTACTGCTATTGTTTCTTGTGCGGGGGCGAAACTCGGTAATCCGATTTCCATAGCGTAATGTTACGAGTATCTAGGTACATTGTGCTAGCCATTCATCACATTAATGAGCTGAATTATGGGCTACAAAATTGCTTACGGCAAATGATACCCCACTTGAATACTGCGTAATGCTGCTTCAAGCGCAAGGTTTCGCGGTTGCTGTATATAGTAGCATAGTTCATGCCTGTATGTCTTGATCCTTCGCATACTATTTTTAGTTTGTGTTTCTAGAGAATTTCATTTTTGTAAGTTTTGCATTTGAAACTGAAAATGGTGGAGGGGTTGTGTGTGTGTGTGTGTGTGGGGGGGGTAGGGGTGGTTGGGTAGGGGTGGTTGGGTAGGGGTGGTTGGGTAGGGGTGGGGAATGGGAGGAAGGGTCGGGGAAAGGAAGGGAAGGAGGTGGAGGGGTTGGTTGCGGAGAGGGTTGAGAAGAGACGGACGAGTGGAGACGGTTGAGTGGTGGGGGAGATGTGGATCCAAACAGTCTTCAACATAAATTAGGGACCACCTTGACAAACAGCCGGGATTTTTTAAAGAATCCGAAAAAAGAAAAAAGACAGCAAGGAATGTTTCAAAATTTTTGCTCTAAAAGTGTTAATGGGTTACCAATGCGTACTGCAAAGCTTCCTAAAGGGGAAAAACCACCTCGAGCAGCACGGAAATCCTCGAGGAATTTTAGCCAAATTTGCTGTTTTTTATCGATTTGTGTGCGGCACCACGGATATTCCTTAAAAATGTAATTTTCTGGTGCACGTCAAAACGGACTTATGGTCTCGAACTGTGCTCACTTTGGTGGCAATATAAGCCGCGTATGCGCAAAATCCAGTGTCGCATCAACATGCCACCAAGACGAAAGCTGAGAGACTTAGAAATTTGATCGTGCCAGAGGTATGGCGTGTCACACTCTGCCATTGTCCACTTGAGGCAGCGCCATCAAGCCACTGGATAAGTCCAAGAACGCCCACGTGCAGGTCGACCAAAGAAGACCACTCAAAGTGTTTGCAAGTGGTCCTTAACTTATGTTGAAGTCCGCATATGGGGTATGATATAACACAGGAGTTCGTTTATTCGTACAGTCGAACAAGAGAGACCAACTCGGGCCAGGCCTTGCACTGCCCACTTATGCGGCATACACATTTAAAGCTAAATATATTCTTCATCACCTGACTCTGACACATTAAAGATACATGTACGTTAAGAGTCGCCCGAAATACGGTCACTCAAAGCACATTGAGGAGACGTGGGGCCCAACTGTGATTCGTCTGCATGCTTCATAACGAAATGTTTTGCATATATTAGGACCAGACGACAATGCGTGCTCTTACGGTTTTTTGCTGTTGCAATTTGTCCTTTCTCTCACAGAACGAAACAACAACACCACCACCAATATTACCATCATCACCATCACTACCACCACCACCACCACCACCAACAACAACAACAACAACGACAACAACAGAACACAACAACAATGAGAGCAGAATTTTAAAAAAGCAACCCACCATCATCCATCATTTCCATTCCATCTTCTTCTGCCTCCTCCTCCTCCTCCTGCTCCTCCGCCTTCTCCACCTCCTCCTCCTCCTCCTCCTCCTC